GGAGTTTAGGGCTGTTGTACATAGGGTCGCTATGAGTTGCAGGCGACTTGATGGCACATAACAACAACAACAACAGTTAATATCAATCCAATAAACAATCTTATTTTATGGTTCTTCTAAACAGAATCGCCAGTGAAAACATAGGACAAAATGAGAACTGAGGAACAGAGACTTGTATACCCATTTTCATAGAAGCATTACTCACCACAGCAAGAGCATGGAAACACCCCAAATTTCCAACCACAACTGAATAGATTGAGAAATTATGGTACATTAACATGACGAAATACTACGCAGCACTAAGGCACAATGATTTTGTAAATTACTACCTAACTTGGGAGGGACTGGAAAATATTATGCTAAGTTACCGAACTCAGACCCATAAGGGAAAATATTGTATAAGACCATTACTGTAGAACGTGTTATAAGAATCCAGTGTGGGAGTGGGGGGAGCAGAGGGGTGAGAATGGGTGGGCGGCAGTTAATCATAGGGTTACACAATTTAATGGGTGGAGCGAGAGGTGGGTGAAGCAAATGGGAAAGATCTGGTGTGAAAAAAAATGTATAAAAATTTTGCAAATAAATCACAATTTTTTTTTACTTTTTTTTAAAAAGAGAGTTTACAACGTGCACAGAGTCAGGTTCACAGACCAAGCAGGGCAGATCAAATTTGAGTGAGAACTACTATTAAAATATTTTGTTTGGGAGCTGAGAGGAGCAACATGCCTCAGCAAAGAGTAGCGTGCCTCAGTGGGGCACAGCTGACCTAGGCAGGGAACAGCTGTCCTCTGAGGGGAAGAAGCAAGCCACAGCAGAACTCACCTGCCAGGAGCAAGCAGGGAAGTGGGAATTTGAGTGAGGTACTTAGGAGAGATCACTGATGATTGCTGAACCATGTGGGACTGGTTCATCTTAACTAAGAGGGAGTGAGACAGCTGAAGCTCCACTGTGGGGGGGAGGGTAGACCCAGTTCTCAAGGGGAAAACCAATGCTTGCTGCTTTTCCACTCAGGCCTCCATGAACACTTACCCGTTGTGAGCATCTGCATGCATGTATCCTCCCTCCCGTGCACATCTGTGTATACATCCACCCAATGTGCATCCACATGTATGCCTGCTCAATCTTTTTCTGGAGCAGTGACTTCAGATCAAGAACTGGCTATCACTTCAGGCATGAAAAACTCCACCACAGCAATGTCACAAAAAGCACCCTACACAATCCCAAAGAAAGATATCACCCCAAAAAGTGACACAATGGCAATGGATTTTGTGAAGTGAGGAAGTCAGAGGGAACTTTCTGACACAGAATTTAAAAGAACAATGATTGAATTTTTCAATGGGTGAAAAATGTGAAGAATTACAGTACACTGCAAGCAAAATCCAGGAGGAGCTAAAAATAACAAGGTAAGACAAATGTGGCATTAGAAGCTCTGGAAAATCAAGAAACCACAATCAAAAATATTAGGTCCAATGTTTCAGATGCTGTCAACATGATGGAGAGATGCATGGACAGAGTTGAAGAGATGGAACACAGAACCAGTGAAATAGAAGATAGAATTGTCACCATTGATCTGCTAGAGCAAGAAGCAGAATCATAAAAGAAAGGGAAAAGCGGAAAATGTAAGAATAATGTGGGACACCATCAAGATAAATACCATGCTTATCATCAGAATCCCAGAATAGGAAGAAGCAAGTAAAGGCAGAGAAAAATTTGTGCGATTACTAGAAGAAACCTTACCAGGCACAAAGAAGAATGAGAGAATATATATTCAAGAAGCTAAGTGCACACCATATAAAATAGACCACAAAAGAGTATCATAGTCAAATTTACCAGAACAAAGATAAGGAGAGAATATTGAAAGCAGAAAGGGAGAAACAAAGAGTAACCTATAAGGGAGAACAAATAAGATTGAGTGCTGATTTCTCAGTAGAAAGCAAGAAGACAGTGGAATGGCATATATTGAATACTCAATGAACAAAACTGTCAACCAAGAATATTGTACCCAGAAAAACTGTCCATCAAATATGAATGTTGTTGTTGTTGTTATGTGATGTCCAGTTGCCTACAACTCATAGCGACCCTATGTATAACAGCCCTAAACCTTGCTCTATCCGGTGCAAGTCTCAATGTCTCCAACACACCCACACCCACTATTCCACTCACTGAATCAATATGCCTCAAAGTGGGTCTTCCTCTCCTGAGCTGTCCCTCCACCCTCCCAAGCATGACATCCCTCTCCAAGGACTGACCCTCCTTGCAACATATCCAAATTATGTCAGACAGATCTTCAGAATCCTTGCCTCCAAGGAGCAGCCTGGTTTCACCCTCTCCAGAATGAACCTGTTTGTTTTCTTAGAAGTCCATGGTATATCCAATACTCTTCTCCAGCACCACAGCTCAAAGGCATCAATTCTCCTTCTATCGTTCCTAGTCATTGTCCAGATCTCTGATGCATACCAAGTGATTACAAAGACCATAGCCTGTATCAAGCACACCTTAATCTTGAGAGTGACACCATTGCTCTTCAATACTCTGGAGAAGTCCCTAACAACAGACTTTCCCATCACATACATCTTTTAATTTTCTGGCTGCTGGTGGCAATAGTGTTGACTGTGGAGCCAAGCAAACTAAAGCAGTTAACATTTCAATCTCTTCGCCATCCATCCTGATGCTGTCAATTAGCCCAGTGGTGAGGATCTTTGTTTTATTGATTTTGAGCCTCAATTCATACTGAAGGCTGCAGTCCTTGACCTTCTGCAGCAAGCACTTCATGTCCTCTTCAGTTTCAGAAGGCAGGTTGTGTCATCTGCATAACGCAGACTGCTGATTAATCTTCCGCCAATCCTGATGCCACACTTCTCCTCTTTGAGTCAAGCCTTCTGGATAATCTGTTCGGCATATAGGTTGAAAAGGTTTGGAGATAGGACACCCTTCCCAATTTTGAACCATGCAGTGCTTCCTTGCTCTGTTCTGACAAATGCCACCTGGTCCAAGGAGAGTTTTCACATTAGCACGATCAATTGTTCTGGGATTACCATTCTTCTCAGAGTCAGCCACAGTTTATTGTGACCCACACAGTCAAATACCTTTGCATAATCAATGAAACACAGGTAGACATTCTTCTGGTACTTCCTGTTTTCAGTAAAGATCCATTCTAACATTAGCTACAAGATCCCTAGTACCACGACTCCTTCTATATTGGTGTTTTTTTTTCCTTTTTATTTTATTATTTTTGTGTGCGTGTACCGTCAAATCAGATCTGACTGGTACAGGAGGAGATTGTTCCTCCTTTCCCGGCAGAGCATCTGGTGGATTAGAACCATGAGCCTCTGGGATTGTAGTTGCAGCTCCTTACCACTAGGCCACCAGAGCTCCCCCACGACTCCTTCTAAAGCCAGCCTGCACTTATGGAAGTTCTCTGTTGATGTGCTGTTCGGGTCATTTTTTACTAATCTTCAGCTGAATCTTCCTTGCATGTGACATCAATGATATTGTTCAATAATTTCCACACTCTTCCAGTCAGTTAGCCAAATGGCTGTCTTCCAAATTTCTTGGCACAGCTTTGTGGGCACATCTAGGGCAGCATCTGTTAGTTGAAATATGTCAACTGGTATACAACCTATACCTGGGGCCTTATTTTTCTGCAAATTCCTTCAAAACAGATTGAACTTCTTCCTTCATCACCACAGGCTCTTGCTCATATGTCGTTTCATGAAATTCTTCTGTGTCGGCCAATTCATTTCAGTACACTGACTCTGTATACTCTTTCCATCTTCTTTCACTACTTCCTGGATCATTTAATATTCTGCCCATAAGCATCCATAAGTATAGCAACTTGAGGTTTGAATTTGTTCTTCATTTCCTTGAGTTAAGAAATGCTGAGCAAGTTTGGCACTTTTGACTTTCTGACTCGAGCTCCTTGCACATTTCATTGTAATATTTTACTTTGTCTTCCCACGCTGCCTTTTGAAAACTTCTGTTCAGCTCATAAATACCTTTATTTCTTCCATCTGTTTCGGCTTTGCGGCACTCTAATGCAATATTCAGAGTCTCTTCTGACATCCATTTTAGTCTTTTCTTCCTCCTCTGCCTTAGTAATGACCTTTTGTACTCTTCCTGAATGATACTCTTGATATCCTCCCACAACTCGTCTGGTCTTCGCTCATTGGTGTTCAGGTCCTCAAAACTGTTCCTGAGATGGTTCTGAAATTCAGGTGGGATAGACTCAAGGTCATATTTCGGTTCCCATGGATTTAATTTCATT